TCCTTCCCCCTTTTTTTTTTTGTCTAAAATGAAAAATATGCTTGTTAATCTTGTTACCTTTGGCAACATAGAAAACTTTCTATTTTTTTTTTTTCCATTTATTTATTATTATTATTATTATTATTATTATTATTATTATTACTTTGAACTTTTAATTGTCACCCTAATCAATTTTTTCTTCCTAACATCAAATTTTTATTAATGATTCGAACGTTAATAATAATAATAATAATAATAATAATAATAATAATAATAATAATAATAATAATAATAATAAATAAATAAATAAATAAAAACTTTCGATGAAATTATTAATGACGAATGTTTTATTAAAAAATAATTAATTATTACGTAATAATACGTATTATTATTATTATTATTTATTTATTTATTTCACATTCCGTACATAACTATTTATCATTTATTACTTCCGTCAACATCGTATCATCGATTTTATTATTAATAATAATAATAATAATATTTTTTGTAACACGTGGATTTTCGTATTGTAAAAACAACAACGACAACAGGTCGAAATATTATCGTTTATTTATTATTATTATTATTTAAATGTTATTCGTATTTAAATTCAAATTCACAATAAAATAAATAATAATAATAATAATAATAATAATAATAATGGTGGAAAATAATAGGGAATAATGATTAATTGACGAGTAATTCGAAAGGATAAAAATAATTTTTTTTCATCTTCATCTTCTTCTTCTCCCTTTTCTCCTTAAATGAATGATAATAATGATAATACATAAATAAACTTTAATAACTTTTTTTTTTTCTCTTTAATATTACATTACCTTCAATGATTCATTTACATAAAAAAAAAAAAACTTAATTATTTTGCTAATAAAAAAAAAAAAAAAAAAAAATGGATTCTCGTAAAAAGATTTAATAATATTCAAATCCGATAAATTTTTTTTTTTTTTTTATTTAAAAATTTTTAATAATCATTATTATTATTAACATCGTCACCGTCATTTATTTTTTTTTTTACTTATTAAACCCTCCTAAAATAAAACGAAAATTAATAATAATGATAATAATAATAATAATTTAATTTCACATTAAAATTTACTAATATACGTACACAGATACGTCGGGCGTCTTCTTTGGTTTTTTACATTCCCTATACGTTCCGTTTTTATTATTATTATTATTATCATTGATTTTTTCTTTACGTAGAGAGGAGGGTAAACGTAATAAAAAAAAACGCGAAGCCATTTTTATTTATTTATTTATTTATTTATTATTTCAATCAATTAATTAAAACACGTGGTGTTAGCGGCGGTGACGACGGTGGCGGTGGCGGTGGCGGCGCTGGCGATGGCGGTTTAGAGCTTTTCATTATTATTATTATTATTATTCCTATTATTATCATTATCATTATTATTATTATTATATTTAAATAAACCCAACCAATTTAAGTAAAAATTAAATTTAAAATCACAACTTTTTTTCTTTTTTTTTTTTTTAATTACAATTTGAACCGTCGATGATAACAACGACAATAATAATAATAATAATAGTAATAATAATAATAATAATAATAATAATAATAATAATATTGAAAGCAATCATTATTATTATTAATATTATTACCAAATTATTATCATTATTATCAATCATTTAATTAATTTATTATTTATTTATTTAATTATTTATTCGTAATAAATAATAATGATAAATCAGCCAAAACAAAAAAAAATTATTATTATTATTATCATCATTATCATCATCATTATCGTTATCATTATTATTATATTATATTATCATTATCATTATCATCATCATTAATTAATAAATTTGAAGCCGAGAAGAAAAAAAAATTGTTTTTTTATTAATTAATTAATTAATTTTTATTAAATAGTCACAATAAAATTTTTTTTATATTCGTTAATAATAATAATAATAAACGGCGCGATACGTGTTGCAGATGATGATGATAATGATAATAATAATAATAATAATGATGATGATAAAAAAATAATAATATTAACAATAATAGAAATGTTATCATCATTATCATAATCATAATTATTGTTACAAAAATTATCATTATTACGGTTATTATTATTATTATTATCATAGGAGAAGTATAATACATAATTTATTTATTTATTAATTAATATAATTTATGTACTATGTATTATTAATACTGAAAATTTTTTTATTAACATTTAAAAAAAAAAAAAAAGTAAAAACGATGCAAAGAAAGAATGAAATAAACATGACATCACAAATCTTCTTTCTTTTTATGTATTTATGTATATATGTATGTACAACGATATATATATTATGTATGTATGCACGACAGGATTATCCAAAATGAGAAGAAGGGGAGGAAGGGGAGGGGGTAGGGGAGGTGCGGGGGGAAGGAGGGAAAAGGGGAAAATGTAAACAACACAAAAGTCATATATTTAACGCCATGTTAAGTCATTAACGAAATCCTCGCGTTGTTTCACGATAATAATGATAAATTACGAAAAAAAAAAAATATACTTATGTATATATACATAAATTTTTTTTTTTTTTTTGTTTTTACTGCTTCGAATTGACTAGAAGTTTAATAATAATAATAATAATAATAATAATAATGTGTTTTGTTATGACGTCATTACCTAATGTTTAAAAATTCAAGGGATGAAATTAAATTTTATTTACTTATTTATTTTTAATTTTTTTACTATAAAATTACGATTTCAAAAAAAAAAAAAATTAATGATGTTAATAATGATAATGATAATAATAATAATGATATCCAATCGAATCAATTTAAATTTAAATTTAAATTAAAAAAAAAAAATTCAATAAATTTTTTTTTAACGATTAAATAATCGAATGACCAGCATGTCGATTTTCATTCATCGTTGATTGACAAAAAAACAAACAAAAAAAATTAAAATTAAAATTCATCATCACCATCTTTATCATCATCATCATCATCATCATCATCATCATCATTATTATTATTACGTAGTTTTATTTTTTTAACGCGCGAATTTTAAACGAATCGAAAAAAAAGTAGAATTTTTTAAACGTAAAAAACGGATCATTTTAAATTAACATCAATTTATTTATTTATCATCATCATCATCATCATTATTATCATTATTACAAATAATTAATTTTTTTTTTTTTTTAAATCCCCAAATAAGAACGAAATTTTATTATTATTATTATTTTCGCAGTAAAAACAAAAAAATTTTTTTATTTTTTTTTAAATGAATTGAAATTAAAAAAAAAAAAAAATTACGTCTTTATTACAAACGTTTGTTTGCTTGTTTGTTTGTTTGTTTGTCGGTTGGTTTTTTTTGTTTTTTTTTTCTCTTATTTTTCGCAAATTAAACTTATTATTATTATTACATAATTTACATATATATATATAATTAAACTAAAATATACATAGAAAAAAAAAAAATTGTTCAAATATTTGAGCATTGTTCGTATTAATTAATTATTTAATTATTTATACCGATTTTTATTAGAAGTGAGGGCGGGGGGGGGGGTGGAAAATCGTTAAACAAAAACGTTTACTTTGATTACTGTCATTCATTTTAAATTTCGGTGCTTGTTGTTGTTTTTTTTTTTTTTTTTTTTAAATGTTGGCACCTCGTTAACATTACAAAAAAAGGATATAAAACCATATTCACTGCCTTCTTGTATTTGTTTACGTTGAAAATTTAAACGTTTATTTAAAATCCCTATTCTTCTATCTCTCTCTCTCTCTCTCTCTCACAATCAAAACTTTTTTAGAAAAACATGGAGAAAAAACGAGATAGATAGATAAAGAGAGAGAGAGAGAGAAAGAGGAAAAAAATAAAATTTCGAACCAGTAGTTGGAGTTGTTGGATTTTTTTTTTTTTTGTGAAAAACTTTTAAAATTTTACAGTAAACATTTTAAAAAAAATTTTCTTTTCTTTTCTTTCTCTCTCTCTCTCTCTCTCTTTCTCTTTTTCTTTTAACTCAAACGAGAAAACTTTTTCATTCAAATTACTTTTCTTTTTTTTTTTTTTTTTGCCAAATCACAAAAAGAAGAAAATCCACGAAAAATTTTTTTTTTATCTATTTTTTCTTTTTCTTTTTTCTTTTTTTATTTTTTATAGGTTGGCAACAGTGAATTGGCTTCGTTTTAAAAACCTTAAATTCATTTTAGAAACAGTAATAATAATAATAATAATAATAATAATAATAATAATAATAGAGAAATGAAATAATAATAAAACGTTTGGAAAATTTTTTTCTTCTATTTTTCTTCTCTTTTTCGTTTTGGTTTTTCTTACATATTATTATTATTATTATTATTATTATTATTTTCTCTCTCTTTTTCTGTGATTTTTAAATTACGATCGGTACAGAGTAATACATTTATTAATAAACTCTTATGTAATATTTTTTTTCTATTTACAAAATGAAAAAAAAAAAAAAAAAAAAAAAAAAATTAATTTTTACGGGCTCAAATCCACCTTTTCGAATTTTTTTTTCTTTTTTTGTTTATTTATTTATTTATTTATTTATGTACATAATAAATAGGCCCACGAAAGCGTAGAAAATTTTTTTTTTTATAAAATCCGATAGCTGCCATGTAATCATTATTATTATTATTATTATTATTATTTCACAAATAATATGTTGAAGGAACAACAACAACAACAACAAGGAGAAGAAGAAGAAGAAGAAGAAGAAGAAGAAGGGAAAAGAAGATGAAGAACAACAACAACAACAACAACGTAATTACATAAGTGCATGCGACGACTAAATTTTGATTAGCAACAAAAACTCTCTCTCACTCTCTCTCTCTCTCTTTTTCATCTGCCGCCACGTCGATCGATCGATCGATCGATCAATCGACTCAATCAATTCATAATAAAAATTAATTACGAGACATGAATGAGTGAGTGAGTGAGTGCGCGGGTGCGTGCGCGCGTTTTTGTTTGTTTGTTTACTTTCGCTTTTGAAATTTCCTCTTTTTGTTTGTAAATTTATCATTTGGGAGGACAAAGGTTGAGCTGAATAAACGTTGCCGGTTGATTGGGAGAAGCGGAAGCGATTACGGGGAGCGAACCTTGAAAAAGTCGTAGCGGGACGCCGTTACCCGTTATCGAATTAACGGGTATTACGCCGGTGGGTATCGTAGGAACTGAACCGGATCCCGTTCGCTGAACCGGTACGGGATTGCTTATGAGCAATCCCGATATTATGTCGGATGCGTTCGACGACGCGTTTTGAACGGTCGTCATCCCGTTCGAATTCGATCTCCTTTTACGTTTTGCCACGGAATTTTTCGACATGACGCTGGGTTGAACGTTTTTCTTTATTATCGTCGCCGTTTTGTTTTGATTGGGTTTTTTACCGTATTTGCAAAGTGAAAAATTACCCTTGGAATTACCGTTCGAACCGTTCGTGTTTTGTGCGCTGTTCGAATTGTACACGTCGTTGAAAGCCGTTCTCATGGGTTGCGGCGACGATGCCGACGACGTCCAAACGGATTGCAAATGTTTTCTCAGAGTGTCTAATTTTTTACACGTCGACATGAGACCTCCTATCAGTCGGCATCCGAACGTGTTCGTCGCCAACGGTTTCGGATGACTCGAGTGCCAGTGAATATCTTCTAGAAATATCGAGGGCGGAGGCGACGGAGATTTCGACAGGGGTTCCCGATCCATGTCCCATTTTATGAGTGGCTCGGGTTTCGGTGCCACCGGCATTATGGGAATCGTTTCGTTCTCGTCCACGTCTTTGAGATTTTTCAACGTTTCATCAATTAACGCCTCCAGATGGGAGGGCAACGTAAATTGATTTTGATCTACGTCTTCTTCTACGACTTCTTCTTTTATTTTCAGTCTTTTTATTGGAGGTTCACCCGTTTTAACAACGGTTTGTTCGATCGTCCAAGATTTGCTTCCGGCCTGGACATCTCCGTTCTGAGTAGTAGCAGCAGCAGCAGCAGCAGCAGTAGTAGTAGTAGTAGTCTCTTTCACATCCGTCGTTAATACCTTTTCACCAATTTCCGTCTTGGGCAATCGAATTAAACTGTTATCAGCCTTGATTTTCTCTTCGTCGTTTTGATTTTTCAATATTTTAATTAGCATGTCATAGGGCATTGTTCTATTGGGTACGGCTCTTTTCAAAGCCACCTGATGCACTTTACATAAAATACTTCGCACGCACGGTTTTCCATTGTCGTTAATTACTCCGCAATGCTTATCCGGATCGTATATTTTATCCGCTTTCCTCTCGCTTTTCTTCTTGTCCCTCTTCTTATTCTTTGGTAATTCTTTATTATTGTCATTGACTTCGATTTCGTTTTCGACGACGTGTATCGGACTAAGAGCTACGATCGGTTGAAGTTCTAAAGAGAATCTCGCGTTTTTCTGTTTTCCTCCTCTGCTTTCGCTCCTTTGATTACCCGTTGAATATTCTAATTCTATGGATTTATCTAACGATTTCATTCCTTTTTTGACATTTTTATCTAAACGTTTCGTTGAGTCTTTTATGAAAACATCTTCAGTCGGTTCGGACTTGACGTTCCTTTTTGATTTGTCCGATTTTTCCGGTTTGATTTGTGGCACCTTTTTATTAGATGATTTAACTTTGGAAAGGGATTCGACCGTTTGCTCGTCGTTATGCGCGTGTCCTCCTCCACCCTTATTATTGCTATCTCCGTGACGCTTTTCATAGTGTTCTTTCAATGCGTGTGGCATGAGTATCATGGAACAGGTTGAGCAAACGATGGTGTAAAAATTATCCGTTTCCGGACACCGTCCGAAAAGAGGCATGTCCTTTTGCCGCAGTCTTTTAACATCCTGTAGCGGTCTTAATACGTTGTCTTCTCCCCTATACTGATGTTGAGGTCCTCCTCCTACTCCTACTCCTCCTCCACCGTCAAACGACTTTATTTCACTATTTTCCGGGCGGCTTTCAATTAAGTCTATCAATTTTTGCCAGTCTTGCCCAATGAGATGTGTCGCCGCATTATTTTCGTGCTTAAACGCATCCACCTGAGCGGTCATTTTGATTTTATCTCACTGTAACAAACCAAAAAAAAAAAAAAAAAAAAAATCTCATTTATTCAAAAACTAAAAAAATTAGTCAATGAAGCGTGTCGCTAACAATTTTTTTCTTTTAAATTTCTGGATTCCCACAAGGGAAATACTAAAAAAAAAAAAAATTAAACCGCACAAGGTTAATTTTGGGTGAATAAAATATTTTTTTTGTAGTCACCACCAAAATTTTAGATACCAGTCAGTCATCATCCTACTAATTTCACGTAATCTAAATCCCCAACCGATAAACATAAAAATCTTTCCGGAAAATAATAATAATAATAATAATCATTAAAAAAAAAGATTTCAAATTCGAACGCGAGGGGCGCTGGTGATGGGAAAAAATTTTTCTTTTTTAAATTTCATTTTTTAAAAAAATTTCAGCTTCGAACAAAAAAAAAAAAAAAGAGGGAAATTTATTTTAAAATTCGATTTAATTACATCGAGAGTTTCCCTCCGTTCTCCCCTCACCCCCCCTCCGGGATTACTAAATGGAGAGGTGATCTAATGGCGTTGAAACGCAACACGGAGGCCCCCCCCCCATAACAATTTCTTTTTTTTTTTTTTTATTAATCGTTTTATTTTTAGTTATCAAATTAATAATAATAATAATAATAATAATAATAATAATAATAATAATAATAATAATAATAATAACAATAACAATCAATTGATTCTTTCGTCTGTCGTCCAGCAACAAAAAAATAAAAAATTTCTCCAGAACCTGGTGGGAGGGGAGGGAGGGGTTGGGGGTACGGGTTCGAAACCAAAATTTAAAAATCACCCATTTAAATTGTACGTTTTCTCTCTCTCTCTCTCTCTCTCTCTTTGTGTGTGTGCGCATGTTTTAATTTTGGAAATTATTCGTAATTATTATTATTATTATTTTTTTAAATAAATAAGTTAAACCAAATAAGTCACGTGATGACCGGTCATCACACGTCTTCCTTTATTTTTTATAATTAAATTCAATTATCATTAAGACAAACGTAAAACCTCGTAACCACGTTCCTTCCTTCCTTTCTTTCTTCCTTCCGATTTTTAACGTTCTCTACAAAACAACAACAACAACAACAACAACAATAATAATAATAATAATAATAATAATAATAATAATAATAATAATAATAATAATAAAATTTTTC